TAGTTAATCATGATTCTTATTGCAAAGATAAGAGCTTGATCTTTGCTATTCTTTTTTATCACTTTTTCTAAATGTGGTTGTAAATACTTTTAGGAATGAATTCAAATAATAAAAAAATCATGAATCTTTTTCTAACAAAAGTGTAAACCAAGAAAAAGCACTTCAAGATAGAAGTATGCATATGAATCTAACTTGAATAAATTTATTAAAGTATTGGAAGAAATACAACCTTAGATAGAACTTAACTTGTTATAGAAATCTTTAAAATTTTGATCTTATTCTATCAAACTTATTGGATATACTAATCTATGTTTTCTTCGTAGTTGTAAAAGTAAAACTTCATAGATTTAATTAAAAGGTCGATCTACTTGCTTCCTTCAAGTGCACAATTTCTTGAAGCAGATTCTAAACTTTTTTTATAGAAGTAGGATTAGTGTATTTGTAGTTGGCACTAGTGATGCATGAAATTTTTATCCTAAGAGTATTGACAAGTTTGTGAAGATTTGTAATAGTTATAAATCTATTCTAAATTTTACTAAGTATAGTATTCATGATTTTTTTCTTCTATTTCAAATAACTTAACAAATTTACATGTCAAATTAAAAAAATATAATCCACAACTTCTAATATTAAATAAAAATTTCTACAAATAAGAATAATCAATTATTTTAAAGAAAAATATTAATGTTAAAAAATTAAATATTTTTTTTAAAAATAGATAATTTGTAACTTTTAAAATATAATAATAGAAGTGGAATAATCCACTCACTTCTAAAATAAGATAAGAACAATAAGTTAGCACTCTTCTCTAACTATCAATGACATAAATCTCAAAGAAAGAAAACTCAATACATTCTTATGTCAGTTGAAAAGACTAAAAAGTCACTCAAAGATGATATAGCATTAAACTAGAATAGCTATTGCTAAAGATAAGAAGACTAAAAAATCTTGAAACAAGACTAATGACTAGAAAGATATTAACAAGAGTGAAGAAGACTTCATTCTTGCCTCCATATATATTCTTAACTAAGAACTACGTGGTAATGTCCTGTAAGACCTCCAAAATTTGTTGACTTTATAAGACATGTATTTTAACTTGCAATACTAGTTTTCTATATGTATGCTATATAATTAGCTTATTCCGTAAACTATCAATACATGGTTAATTTGTTGACCAAGTTTCTAACCTATTAATCAATTACAAAAATATATAAAGTCAAAAGAGCATCTATGAAGCTTCTAAGCAGCTTATCTAAAAAATATTATGAAATATATCTACTTTAATTATTTCTACTTAATCATATAAGTAAATATTAGAGTATATAGATATATATATATATATATATATATATATATATATATATATATATATATATATATATATGATAGACAAGTCAATTTAATTCTAGCCATAAAATACAACTAGATGATGAAATTTCAAAATTATTATAAAATCTTCTACTAGTACAATATTTGTAATCTTTTTTAGTTGATTTATATCTTGTTTTTGTAGATATAGTATTCAAGATGATTTGTATAGTTATTAATATTTATTCTTCTAAATTTTTTCAATCTAAGAATTATGAGCTAATATTAACTATTCCATCATGAATATATGATAAAAGATAAAAATATGGATTATATTATATAAGAGTCTAATTAAAAAATATAATAGCAATTTTTTAAAAAAAAATTAAGAACTATTATCCAAAGAAGAACTAGTATGAACCAAGGTTTAATTATATCTTGAAGGACAAAATCGTGCATCTAAGGTGATTCTAAGGTTTTTTTATTGATTGAAGAAAGGAAATCAAGAACAAACAAGAAAAAGATTCTTTAGGTATTGATTTTAAGTGTTGTAGATTTGTAATGACATTATAAGAATTTTGCAAAGTTAAGATTGTTTTAGAGTGATTCTAGTTTTTGAAAAATAAAAATATTTTTTATTTTGAAATATTTTATAAAATTTATAGAGGATCTATAGATAAAAATTTGTGAGGTTTCAATTATAGCTGTATTAAATATATCTTGTAAGTTTGAACTTTATTGAATGATTAATTTTAAGATTATTAAAACTCAAGTGAGTTGATGTCATAGAAATTGGAGTTAAAAGATTAGTGAGGATTTCTAAGATTTACAACAATTCTCATTTTAAATTAAGACGAAATTTTGCACACTAATTTTTTTTTTTAACAACTATATAAATTTTAAGAAAAATTAGATAATGAAATTCATAGATATTGGTATTAAGAATTTAGCATCATAGTTAGAAAAAGAGGCAAGCCAACATCCAAGTGGATTATGATATTTATCTCTTTTTTTGTATATTCAATTCTCTTCACATTTTTTGTGTTTGTCATCAACTACAAATGTGAAAGAAGTATAAATGTTTAGTTAAAACCAATGTTTCAATTATTAGTTATTAAAATTTGTAATCTAAAATAATATTTGAATTTATGATTTAATTAGGATTTAGTATTTGATAAGGATTTTATTAAGATTTAATTAGGATTTGTCTAGGATTTGTCAAGGGCATGAACTTCAAAGAACTAAAAGGTCAATAGATTCTTATGTCATTCAAAAAGACTAAAAAATCACTCAAAGATAATATAGTATTTAATTAGAATAGCTATTACTAAAGACAAGAAGACTAGAAAATCTTGAAACAAGACTAAAGACTAGAAAAGAATTGAAAAGAGTAAAAAAGGCTTCATTCTTGCCTCTGTATATATTTTCTAACTAATAGCTATGTAGCAATATGCTATAGAATCTACATCATATATTGACTTTGCTAGACACATGTCTTAACTTACAAGAGAAGTTATCTATATGTAGGCCATATCGTTAGCTTGTTCTACAAGTTATTAATACATGTAATACATAATTAACTTGTTGACAAAGTTTCAAGCATACTAATTAACTACAAATATGTATAAAGTCAAAACAACATATATAATACTTCTAAAAAGCTTTTCTATAAGATATTATGAAATTAATTTCTTTTTACTTACTTCTACTTAATCATATAGCTGATTATTAGAATAAATACATATATTTATAACAAGATTTGATTAAAATTTATTTAATTTTTTATTATTTCTTTATAATTTCAGTTTTTGGTATTTTAAAAAGATTTTTTAAAATTTCAATATGATTCTTTTTAAATTTCTTTTAATTTTATTAGAATTAATTGAAGTTTAATTGGGATTTATTTAAGATTCTATTAGAGTTGTTACAACCCTTGTTTATTGTAATTTTTAATTTATCTTCTGCAATCAAGTGTTTGATTTATTTCCAAATAAAATTTCAGATAGTACGACTATATAATATTTACATTTGTTGTACAAAGAACATGTGTTATAATTTGGCTTATTTTTTTATAAAATACTTACTAACAAAAATAATTTATTATTGCAATAGTTTGATTCTTAAGATGTTTTTGATATAAAAATTAATAGTGTTGTTTATTGTCAAGATAGATTAAAGAGTGAATTTCACCTTCTTAAAAGTGATTATGTGGTAATGAAGTTCATATCTACACTTATAGTAGTATAGGTTAATTGGCAATTTAAATAAGGTTACATATAAGTTTTGAAGTGATGGTTTAAATATATATTTGCAACTAAGTTAATTGCAACTCAAACATTAAGAAGATTCTTGATTATAATTCCAATAAATACAATTGGATTTCTTTAGGTAAAGGCTATAGTAGAATCCAACTCAAATATATAAAAATATATTCAATATTTGTCACAATTTATCTATCATCTCGAAATTTTAGTTCCACTTAACAAATTCACACATCTTTTCAATTTAATAAACTTAAGGAACAAGTGATTTGATGCCAATGAATGCATCTTTTCTTATTGGAAAAGAAAGGTGATGCATAGGCAACATGCAATTACATTCAATATTCTTAACTCTAATGCCATAAAAACTTAGTAAACACAAAGCAAATTATTGACCTTAAACTTAGCCCCTACTGTGATATTGGACATTGACAACTAATAGTGAGCAAGACAGAGTTTAGATTCAAACATCACAATTGATAGACATGTTAATATGAATATTTGATAAATGTAAGCAGGACTACCATAAGGAGGTGTTATGTCTTCCTCGACTCCCTCACACTTATAGCACATATCAAAATTCATTCAATAATAATTAGTCAAAAAAATACTTTTATTTTTTTATTTTTTTGTGTGTATAAAGCAATATAAAGTATTTGCAGCTATAATCACATATAGCTGGAGTCTTTATGATTTAGTTTAGTAAAGATTTATTTATATATATATATTTATGCATATATAAAGAAAAAATAAAATAAAAGTAAGAAAAATTGAAAATATAATATATTACTAATATTTTAATATAAAATATTTTAAAAAAATCTATTTTGTGTACATAATGACTTAATATTTTAATTATAAATTTATTTTAAAGTTTTTCTAATTTAAATACCAAATTATTATGTATAAAAAATAATATAATATAAAAATATATACACATACAATATCTATTTAAAATATATAAAATCATATTATAATACTAGCGGTTGGCGCTTGCTTTGCAATGCATTAGTCCAACCATTTTAATGTAGTTCTTATATTACAAAATAGTTTAAAAGGAAGGTAACAACAATCTACATATATAAATATGTCTTCATGACCTAAGCATGAATTTTAAGAATGTAATATAATAGAATAGAGTAATAAATTTTAGAAATAAAATGCATCTTAAGATGCATGCATCTAAAGATGCATGCATTGGAAAATATCCATTCATTGAATAGTGAAATTCAAGATGTAACCTTCTTCAATTGAATGGTAAGTTGTCTCAATTGAGAAAACATAATTGAACACCAAAAGAATGCAATTGGATGGAAGGGGACGTCGCCAAAGCGTGCATGAATCCTAAACATGCAGAGTTTGAAACAAACTCTTAACTTTTTCATCCACCTGATTCAGGTGTAAATATTTATAGGAATTTATATGACAATGTCATGTAAAAACCTCATGATAAACAATGTTTTTAACCGTTCCCACGGCTTCATTGTTGTCATTGGCAACCTTAATGTTTGCAGGATGTCTACCACGAGACAATGCCACATATAATTGACCATGGCTAAATACTTCATTGCGAAGATAAATGCCAACTCGATCATATGATTGGCCCTGCGATTTGTTGATTGTCATGGCAAAAGCACCAGTGACAGGAAATTGTCTCCGGCAAAGTGTGAATGGCAAGCGGCTATCGTTGCAATGATGTGTGATTCTAGGAATCAATACCTCTTGGCTACAATAGCGTCCTTTTACAATTTCACATAACAACACACTAGAAGACACTTGCAAAAGACGCAAACGACTACCATTGCACAAACCTTTTGCCGGATTCAAGTTCCTTAGCAACATCAAATATTGGCCACATTTAAGACTTAATTGGTGAGGAGGCAAACCGCTCAATTGTAAAGAATTCAAAAACTCTACTGGGTAATGATGGGCATGTTCATCATTCTTGTGAACAAAATCAGCACTAAAACATTGATGCACATCACCAGGTATACGATCGGTGATTTTTCGGTTGATTTCTTGGGCATCATCATTCCGGACAGCCAAAATGACGCGCTCAGAAAAATCAACCGGATCATCAAAAATAGCATCAATGAGACCATCTAAAGAATTTCTAGGAGCAACTAATCCTAGCGGTAAATCTACCTTTGGACCGGTTTTGCCCTCACCAATATCTAACAAAAATCGTTGAAAGTCCGGTTGACTTTGCAAACGCATGTTAGTGTTCAAATGAAAATGTTGCATTAGTCGAAATAGGTATGAATGTCGCAAGCAAGCTTGAACAGTTTGCTTGCGACCTCCACGTACAACTACAGGCAAAGTTTGGCGAAAATCACCGCCATATAATACTACAACACCACCATTTGGACTATCTATATTGCGTATATCTTGCAATGATCTGTCTATTGCTTCAAACATAATACGATGCCCAGCACAAGCTTCATCAAGTACAATCAATTGTACTTCATGTAAGCTTTGACCTAATGTAGACTGGGCACTAATGTTACAAATTGATGCATCGTGCAACTGTAAAAGAATAACAAGAGCTGAATGTGCCGTTCGCCCTTCATTCAAAAGGCATGCGGCAATTCCACTTGTTGCCATTGCCATACACTTGACATTACGACCACGAAGATAACCCAATATGGTGTTATACAAAAAGGTCTTACCTGTACTACCACGACCATCTAAAAAGAAAAGCCGATCTGGAGAATCTGAATTTAAAACGGCAGTGGTCACCGCATTAAAAATAATGTATTGTTCTTCGTTGAGCCTACCTACATCCTCCTCTAGAAAAGTAATGTTTTGGTTATCAAAATCAATATTGTCATTGGAATCACCGCCAACATCAACAATGTTTGAATAACCAAACTCATTCAATTCTTCAATATTAAAAAAATCTGTAAGATGTTTGTCTGATGATGACAAATATTCTTCAATGGACAAAATTGCTTTGCAATAGCGATTTTGATCATTGCGCCAATCATCAGACATAGCATCAAGATGTGTCTTTAGTAAGCTAAGAGGATCTAGCGGTTGTCCAAACACAAGAAGTGTTGCAAACAACCGCCGAACTTGTTTAGGCAACGCAATGACAGTTGCCTCTTGCAGACAATTTTTCCATTCAGAATCATCTTGTAAAAGTCCTCTTGCAATACAAGCGGCCTTGTACGTTGGATGCACTATATCATGAAAACAAAGTAGGTCCTCAAATGAAGTTGGTGCCTCGACATGAGTCAACAACAAATGCAAGTAAAATACTTCAGTACCTATGGGAACCATGTTTATCCGACCAAAAACTTTTATCTTACGTACTCTTCTTTCCCACATGTTATTCTTCACATCCCACTTCTAGTAGAGTGGAAGATCCATGTAACGAAGAAGCATATGGTTGCCTTGATTGCCAGAAGCAATTAAGGCACGAATATGGCAATTAAGCTCAAAAAACTTGGTGAGTTTAGTCTCAGCATTTTGATCAATCATCGAGTGCAAAGATGTTCCTTCCTTAAAAGTAACATATTGCTGACCGGGAAGGTGAACATGCAAACGATAAATACTATGGCTCTTATTATTAGTTTCAAAACCAAAGAGCCTCCAACATGCTTCTTGGGCAGTCACATAACGACCCTCCAAGAAATCCTTAATCTCATCTACCACTTCATCTATTTCTACAACACCACGATCTGGACCTTTAAAAATATACTTGTGGAGGTATTTGACAGTTTTTACAGAACTGCAAATTTTCACATTAATGTGACAATTAAACCGACCTATCAAATATGGATTGTATGGCACAACCCATCGATTGTCTAAATGGACAATTTGTCCACGTACACGTTTCTCGATATATCGACCTTGATTTTGACGATGGTACAAAACATATCTGTCACCATCCACCTCGATAGAATCTCGAGCTTGCATCGGATAGTTCTTTGTACATCTATCGTCTTCCATGCATGGACAATTGGGATTGTCCAAACCACATGGTCCATGCATCATGTGCTTGGCAACCGCGGCATACAATTGCGGTTGTCTATCTAAATCGGGAATCTCCGCACATACTATCCTATCTACAAGGTCACAATCATTGACCTTGTCTTTCAACCAAAGAAGAATGTGTGCATGAAGAAGACCACGTTTTTGAAACTCAATAGTGTAACAAAAAGCAATTGTCTCTCCCATGACATTCTTCTTCGTAATCTCATCCATCAATGCTCTTAACTTGAGCTCGAAAACACGCACAACAATATCTGGACGATCAGGAGGACTTTGACCTGGCTCAAGCTCATCAAGAATCTCAGGCCAGGTCGGATTACATGTCATTGTCACAAACAAATCGGGTTTTCCTAAAACTCTAACCAAAACCATACTATCATGAAAGAGTTTTTGCATGTATCGGGAGGAACCAATGAATGTTGCAGGTAAGACAATGCGACGTCCAATGCGTGCTCCATTGTCTTCCTGCAAAGCATCTACGACCCCCTAATAGCACTCTGCACGAAGTTCAGTTTGATGTTGCCTAATGAAAAGCAAATTTTCATGTTTTACACGTAAATACTGATCCACTACATATTGCTGGAATAATCTACCAGCCTTATGTAATACATTAGATTCTGGGCACTTTTGAAGCAAATATTGGACATATGACTTTAAAGTCACTTCAGTATCTGCTTTAAAAGTTGGTGACCACCCACATCGCCCATTAGGAAACAACAAAGGATAGGATAAAGCATCGTAAGCTGGATGAATTTCTTTTATTCGTATTAAATCTCCACCACGTTGGTGAAGAATAATATCTCTACCAAAATTCATGTATTGTTCGTCAAGAATAACAGCAGCAACTTCTGGAACTACTTGGCGATTATATCGACGGGGATGTTCACCAAAAGGAACCTCACCAAAGATACGAAGTCCCATGTTTTGTCCCCTTTGAAGAACATCACATGAAGACTTAAAACCACGAACCAACGCATTTATGGATTCTAAAACTTCTTGAATGTTGTTAACAACATCACGATGAAGATCATCAAAAATCTCCATACGACGATTTGTTTGTAAACCATCATCCAAGAAATAAATTTGTGCAAATCTAGCACCTTCGTCTAAATCAGGTTGTAAATTTCCAATGTGATGGCATAACTCTCCGTTCACACGAAAAGTATATACCCCTCTACCTTCAACTTGGTCAGACTGAAACTTACTATGCATACTTGTAAATGCAAAAGCTTGATTATACTTTCGAATGGATTTAAGGAACTCTCAAGATTTAGGTGTTGTGCCCATATAAAGCTCATTGAGCATTGGATGGACAATGGGGTGATTAACATGTTCATTGGCAATTTTGCCATTGTAACAACAAATGGTATTTTTTTCTTTTTTAAAACGAAAAGCCAAACATTTTGGACATTGGATGCACATTGATCCAACACTATCAACATTGACATCTACAAAATTATCAATGGTAGACAAAGCACGAGCCATTCTCTAGAAAGATGACAATATAATAAAAAAAAGTGGAATTTAGGATAGGAGAATGAAGACCCTATCATAAATTCTAAACTCCACAAAGATAAAAAGATATATCAATAAATAGGATTTAGTGTAGGATAGAAGAAATCCTACCCTAAATCCTAAACTCCACAAAGATTGAAAAAATTGATAAGAAAAAGCAGAGTTTAATGTAGGATAACAAAAATCCTAACGTGAATCCCAAACCATTTCAAAACTCACAAAAGTAAGGTTTTTGATAGTACCTTTGTAAGCTTGTGCTCCAAGAAAGTTGCACCTTTTGATGAAATTTCACTCCACTCTAAAAAGTTTACGTTCAATGCACTACACTTCAAAGAAAAAAAATAGATTAGGTTGGCGCTTGCTTTGCAACACATTCGTAGCCAAGAGGTATTGATCTAACACACAAAAAACATGCATGAAAACAAATGTGATGAACATATTCTCAAGCCATACTCTACCTCCAAAGTTTAGACTCTAAATTTTTTTTTTTTGAAGTCACATAAAAATGTCGATTTTTGAAAACTTTTGTCACAAATCATTTTCTTTCCAACTAAATGAAAATGCACCTAAAAAGTCCAAATCCGAAGTCGGAATTCAAAAATAATTAGTATTTTGGGAGATATTAACTCACTGTTAAATGAATTCTGCCCAAAATACAGTTTCATCCACAGTGGATGAAAAATCGCACAGTAGATGAAAACCATGCAGTGGATGAAAAAATATAGTGGATGAAAAATTGCACAGTGGATGAAAAATTGCAGCAGATGAAAAATTGTTGGGCAAAAAAAAAGTTTAAAGTTTAAAAAAGTAAAAGTAAAAGTTTCGGCGATGTGCACATCACAGAACAGCAGCTGCTCGTTTTTGAGTCCTTGATGTTTTTTATTTTTTGTTTGGTTTTTTGCAACTAAAACCACTAAATTTCAACTTGATTTGAAAGTTTAATGTTTGAAAACTTGATTTTATGATTACCCAAAATCAAAAATTACCAAAAATTTTAATCTTTCAAAACCTTTCAATCTTTCACAATCTTGCAAAAATTGCAATCTCACCTCAAATTTCTTGAACAATCTCCACAACTTGAACTTTGTAACTCCAACTCCAACTCCAACTTTGTATTCAAACCTCCAAGATCACATCAACCAACTCCAACTCCAACTTTGTATTCAAACCTCCAAGATCACATCAACCAACTCCAACTCCAACTTCACAACTTACAACTTCCAACTTACAACTTCCAACTTACAACTTCCAACTTACAACTTCCAACTTACAACTCACAATTTACAACTCAATCTTGAAGTGCACAATCCAAAAAATGTTTTGAACATCAAATTTGTAATCAAGAGCTTCAAAATTGTAATCAAGAGTTTCAAATTTGTTTTGGGTAAGCTCAAATTGTAACACACACTTTGGATTGCACACACCCACAAATTCAACGTTCAAATTTCAAAACCGCGCAGTAATAAACGGAGCAGTCAACCGCGCAGTCAACAAAAGTAAAAGTAAAAGTAAAAGTCACAGCCATAGTAAAAGTAAAAGTCACAGTAAATGTAAAAGTAAAAGTCATAGTAAAGATAAAAATAAAAAGTCGCAGTAAAAGGAAAAGGAAAAGGAAAAGTATAGTTGACTTTTGATAGGGCTTATGATTTTAGTAGTATGATGATATGAAATAAATCAAGTTGTAAATAATAATTTATATAGAAATATTTGTATACAAGTATATATAACTATAAATTTTTATATTTTGATACAACATAGATTATAATAAAAATTAATTTTATTTTTATTTTTTATATATATATTATGTATATACATATTATATAATATTAGATTTATATTTTTATATCCTATTTTTAATTATATATTTAAATATAATATCTTTTGATATTATTGAGTTTTATATTTATAAAGTATAAATGTTTATTCTATAATAGATCAATGTAGCCCTAGTTAAATTGGAAAAGATAAGAATTAGCTATTCTTTTTTACTCTTATTAATAACTACTTCTACAACCAAACAATAGACATGTTGTTTGCTTATTATTTCAAATAAATGGATATCAATACACAACCAACATTGTAAAAGAATCACACTAAGAAAAATTGTTCAACTATACTACAAATAACTTACAAAAATATTAAGCTATTGATTTTTGCAACACTAAATAGTACTTATTTGACCACATTTTTTATAATAAGCTTGCAAAGTTTATTTGCACTCATTTGTAGGAATGATTGTCTTGCAATTAGTAAAATAAAAATATGTCATAAATGTTTTATATTATAATTGGTTTCTAATACACACAATTTCAACTCTATAATAGGATTTCATAAATTACAATAAATAAATAAATAAAAAGAGATGATAAATTTTATTATAGAGTTGTAAAGTTAGACACTATGAATTGAATTTTTTAAGAAATATAGAAGTCTTTATGTAAGAAATTTGACTTTTAGTAAGCACAAAAATCAGATAAATACAATAAAAAATTAATTTAGTTTTTGTTTGATGTAGCTCTATAATATTTTTCTGAAATGATGGATTAGCTTAAAACATGTTTTCTAGTAATAATTTTCTATGCATATTCTTCAATATTCAAGACCTCAATGGGCACACGAATATTTTGTACTAGTTTGTGCAAGATTGCAATGCATTTACAAATTTAAAATATAAAAAACTAGAAAATATTCTATTTTTTTATGATTATAAATGGAATTAAAAAAATTACACTTACAATAATTGTTATTGAATTTAAAAAATCACACCATACACAATAAAAATGTGAGATAAAATTTCAAAATAACTGTGAGCATAATTTTAAACTATACATATATATATATATATATATATATATATTTTAAAGGCATTCTCTGTAAATCTTAACCATGATAACTAATTATCTCAACAAAAACCAATTAATAACAAGCATTGTAAGGAAGAAGTGTATACTTTGTATATGCTTCTAGATTAAATAAATAAAAATATGCTACCCCAAATCCAATATTAGTAATATAAAAATTACCATTAAAATATTTATAAATTTTAGTTACAAATAGTAAGTACATATCACATAGTAAGAACTTAGATATTTAGTTCTAAAACACAAAAAATCAAGACATTGAAAAATATAATACCATAAAACCAATGGAAATTCCAGTTTAAGAACATGTAAACAAACAATCAAAAAATACAAATAAACATAACTAATAAACATATGACGTCCCCAATAACTAAATTATTTATCATTTGCTGTTAACTTTTGTGTGTAAAGTCATTTCCGTAGTTAAACATTTCCATTCGTACTTAGCCCTGCATCTTGCCTTGTTGTAACAGCTGCCCACAGTAATCAAAACACCTCTCAGGAGATGATGGCTCAAGCTTTTGCTCGAACTTGCTCTCTGTGAATACACTGCTATCACACATAGTCACTGTACAGTATCAATGAGCAGCATTTTACCTCAAGCTACAGCATAAGAACAAACTGACTGCATTGTTCTTATGCTTCAGGGTCGCAGAGCATGAAACGTCACACTTTCTTCGAACAGCATTGTACTCCAGTAGATATCGTCTGCACCGAAATCACATTTGTATGAACAAGTTATTATGGTGAAACTTCAGCGTTCGGCGATGGAGTGATGAGAGCAATCGCTAGACCACAATAGAGAGCAGATAGGAAATATGTGTAGTGTCAAGGAACCACAGCTTTCATAGAGTGCACATCCAGGGATTACTCTACACTTTATTTGCATTAAATGACAAATTTATTTTACGGAACGCTGAGTGAGTAACGCTCGGTGGAGAAGAGTACCAATTGACGATCACGGAGGATTCAAGACCGTGAAAGTTTTGCATCTTGTTTAAGGTTGCTTGATGTAAAAGCTTGGCGATGATTCAACGATTGTCTTTGCTAGGACCTGAGAATTTCAACTTACGACGTTCACTTGCTCATTTGCAATTTTTCACGGCGGAGGAGCGCATCGCGAGATTGCTGGATGTTAATTTCATTCTAAGATGAAGCGAATGGAAACGAAGTGTGAGAAGCGACGGACGACGTTCATCATTGTTCACTGAAAGGGAGAGTGCGTTATGGCCATTACTTCGGGATTGTGAATCCGATGAAGGCAAATGTTGAGACGCAGCAGAGCAACACAGTGCCTGGGAAGTTGCGGTTACATCGAGAATTCTTCAGGTGGCTTGCGATATCGTAGGTAGAGCTCATGCCTGGCTTAGGTATGCGTCCCGCACACGTCCTATCGAGCTCATATCCTCTTTCTCAGCTCTTCCGATTGCATCTCTTTCCTGGAGGCTCTACCTTTTACTCCTGCTCTCATTTCTACTCAATTTCAAACTTTGGAGCTTGCGAAGCAGTCCGCCATGGTGTTGTAACGAAAGCTCTGCCTCAACACCGCAGGAATGCGACGAAATTGATTCGTCCTCTTTCCTCCCATACCTTAAGATATTCTGAGCCGTGGCATTCGCCAAATGCATTGATCACCTTTCTTATTTTCGGATCGCACGGGAAGGGAATTGCGTCTTTGAAAAATCAGGCGCAAGATGACGCAACCGCAGCATCGACTACTACCTCCAGCAGCTACACAACCCTAGCACAGCCATGCATGTATACATTGGAAGTGAAGAAAAGTAAGTTTATCGCGGCTGCGACCTCAGTGGAGGACGAAGCAGCTGCATTATCCTTTCTCTCCCAGGTACTCACGAGACCAGCATCGAGGCTCTTGTGTTTCTTTCATTCGCCGCTATTTCTTCTCATTGCACATCAGTGTTGCAATTTAGTCAGAATTCAATTTGTGCCTATTGTAACTGTACTTAAGGCTTAGTTTCCAATGCACAAATTCTACTCCTGACGGCACTCTTGATCTCGTTTGCGACAGAAGCGTACAGTATTTCTAGTCAACTCCCAAACCTTGTAAAATTTGTTTAGGTTTCTATTATCTCATCATCATGTGTAGCTCTAATGTCTAAATAATCAAATAAGTGCAACTTAATGTGTGGCACAGTGTTTTAATAGCATCTTTGCCACTTTTTCTTTTTCCAATGTTTTTGAAGAATCTAGTTGCAACTTGTTTGCTCCTATTTTTCGAATATTTCGAAACCCTAGCCTGAACTCTACCAAATAGACGTTCATGAAATCAACAAGAAAGCAAAGACAAAAATGCTTATCATTGTCATGCAAGGTTTATTTAACATAGTAGTGGCAGGGCTTACATTTGCTTCTGTGCTCTACTTTTGCTGAGGTCTTCCGCTATTTTTGAATGTGTTCCTGGCGAGTTGCTGCTCTTGTGACTGATAACATTATCCTTTGTTACTATGCGTAAGTTCAGGTGCGTGATACAAGCGCTTCTCACAACTGCTGGGCTTTCAAGGTCGGTAAGACGAAACTTTTTTAAAATTTCATTTAACATTTTATTATAGCTTCTGTTTTACCCTGTAGACAATTAGGTTCTAATCACCAGGTTACAGCTAATGTGCCAAGCAGTTTGATTAAGTTTTCAAGCGTTCGTAACTGATTTAAGAAGCCATGATCAGGAATCTTAGTTACAGTTTACAAGAAAAGTTTCTGGAAACCGTTTACTTCTTACTTAAAGCTGGAAATCAAAGACACTTGAATCTTTTGGAACTTTGTAATTGGTTTATATCATCAACATTGCTTCAGCTACTGTGATATTCAGGACTTTGCTTACAGTGCTGCTTAGTCCAGGTGTGTTTTCGTTGAAAAGAGCTCCAGAGATGATGACTTTATTGTGGCACAGATTGGGGACCGTACACGCTTCAGTGACGATGGAGAGCCTGGAGGGACAGCTGGACGGCCCATGCTCGCTGCAATTACCTCCTCTGGGATTGATCATGTCATGGTGGTTGTTACTCGGTAGGTCTACCTGATTACTTTTAAACCTTATGATTAGATATTAGTATATTAATCTACCTTTGTTACAACTACGGTAAATTGAGAACCAGAATATATGGTTCTGCAAATTGGTAATGCTGCCCGTGCAAAGAACAGTTGAAGCGATCCAACAAGGGTGTCTTCTTCCTCAAGTTGTACTTCACCTATCTTCCTGTTGCACATGTTTCGACTTTATCGCATTATAATTGAAATGGTGCGACCACGCTGAATACTTCTTGGTTGTGTGGTGAGGTATACAGCACTACTTGTTGTGTTTCTCATCTGTTCTTTTATGTAGGTTTTTTGGTGGGACAAAGTTAGGAACTGGAGGGTTGGTAAGGGCATATGGAAAGGTGACAACTGATTGCCTTAAGGAAGCAGAAACTATTATCGTCAAGGCTAAGGTGTATTTTTCAACTGGTGCTCATCAGAAATTCTAATGCGGCGGAATCTATTATTTTAGGCTTATGACATGACTTGTTTGTGTTCTTCAATAGTCGTGTGGATTTGGAGGCCACGGGTGTTAAGGTCGTTAAATTGCGTGCCAATGTGAGGCATCATATTTGCGTTCGTCGTCATTGTTGCGTTATATTTTTACAAGAGAAAATTCATTTCGCTGTAAATTTTCAGTATGAATTACAGAACCGCCATGTTCTCTTGGAACTCACAACGTTCGTCCTCCGGGAATCGTAGGTGTATTTGAAAATTCGTGCGCCATACGACGTCCTTGGTGTACTTTACCCTCTTGTAAGTAATGTATTTTCTCTGGAACCTCGGAAGAGATATGTTGTTGCTCATTCAGTCAGAAAATTTAGAGACATACACAACTTGGATACCTAAGCCCAACACCCGGCAACTTTTATTTTTGTTACACAAATCTTGTGCTGATTTACAAACGATTATGCTGCTTTTGCACATAGTTTGACATTGAGTGACCAGAAGAAGTATTCTTTCTTGCAGCTCCAAGCGTATGATGTCCGGAAGCTTGACGAGGTTTATGACACTCAAGGAGAGGGGGGTGTAACGATGGACTTGATGGTCAACGCCGAAAACTTGCGGCCTTTTGAAAGAGATTTAGAGACTAACACTAAAGGTCGTGCATCTGTGTCAGATGTGGTAAGTTATATTTGAATGAGAATCGTTTTACTTTCGCTGATCTGGATTTGATTGTGCTGCTTACATGTTGCTCAGTGAAGAAAATGCTAAATACATTGGTTTTTTTGATAGATTTCTATCTATGTGTCTAAAATCTTTAGCCACCTCATTGTCAAGTACACTTATTCAACTCAATAATTTTTCCTTTCAGCACCAACGTTCATGATTTATTGTGGTTGGATCTTTGGAAGAAGTTGAAAAAGAAATAACTGCCAAAACTCAATGTGGTTCAATTTCAATGGCAACCATTCGTCGAAGGTACATGAAGTTCCTTCTTCTCTTATCACCTTTAGAAAACCCTGTATTTGCAACCAGAGTAGTGAGCACAGAAGTTCAGAAACTCACGATTGCATTCCTCAAATTCTGCCCGAGAAGCCAGATTACGAGGATTTTATCTGGATGACTGAACGTCTGAACATGTTCTTTAAGTCTGAACACGGCAGAGAATGGAACACTAGTGGCAGGCCATTTTTTTTGTTTTTTAATTAATTGAGTGTAATCGGTATGCGGATGTTCAGGAATGATCACAGGAATTACAGATGAACACCCTCAGCAACCTTGATTCCTAAATTTTGATAGTTTATCTGCACCTGACACGCCCATGACACAGTTGAATTGGTTCATACTAGTGTAACGCTGCCTGCAACTTGATGACGTGTACATTTTTATTTAATTAGTTATTTCCCGATTGAATGGTTAATAATTTTCCATTCCTCTAGGCATTTCCATCCTATGCTTCGGTAATTTCTGCAAGTATTGAACTATGGTCACTTTTGTTGGTTTATTCAAATATGTCCAATGTTATATTTGCTGATTTGAAGTGGGCCAAGAAATATGAAAATCATATTTTGTGTTGAAATGAAAGTTTTTCACTTTCATATATTAATCCACATTTGGTCTAAGAGTTAGCGTTTTTACAGGACAACCAATGCTTTTATAACAGGAGATATCTGTCAGTAACTTTTCGTTCACATTTGCTGTCCTTTCATGCTTGAACCTTGTTGCCGATGTTGTGTCGAAATTCTATAATATTGATGAATAAAAAAGATCCATGGTGCATTGTTGCATTACCATATTTATCTCTTTGGTCGTGATCGTTTTTGCAGCTAGTTTTCCTATGGCCGTGGTTTTGTTGTGTTTGTGGCACCCTGTTTGCATCGTTGGTGTGCTTTGTGTTTTGTTTGTGCAGTGGGTCGCTCTGCTTTGTTCGTACTACTGTCGTGGTCGTGCTGTTCTTTTGCTAGTTCTCGTGGTCTTGTGGTTTTTTATGATCTTGTTGTCTGATTTGGTTTCGCATGTTGCTCGTGCTGCTCTCGTGTTGGTGCTCGTGGTCTCATGGTGTGCTGTGATCTCCTTTTTGTGAGTTGATTTTATGTGTTGCCACCATGCTCGTCATTTGGTGGTACTCTTTCGTGTCGTGTTGTGTGGATCATGCTGTGAATTCGTGTGTGGTGATTTACTCCTGATACTTCGTGGTGTTCGTGTTTTGCTAATGGTGTTCTCTGTTCCCATGTTTGTGCTCTTCTTTGCAATTTGTCGGTATGGGTAAAAACTATTGATACTCATTTTTCGCTTTCTTTTGCTTGGTTCTGCTTGATCCCACCGTAAGTCCTCATTTCCCAATTCTCTTAAACTCGAGCCTTTTGTGGTAAATTTTATCCATCAATTGCAATGCATGCTGCTCTACAGAAATGTTCAGATATACATGAAAAGGGATTCTTGGGGTAAAACATAAAATCGAAGCAATTTCTCTTAGCCAGCTCAAAATTGTGGAAACCATGAATGTATTTGAATGTACTAGGAGAAAAGAATTCAAGATTTGGAAGGTACCATGATCTACATGTGTTGGCAAAGTACATAAGTTGATGTTGATCATTTAGTCAAAATTGTACATTTATAAAAACTATAATGTTAGTCATTCTATAAAACCAAATATTCAAATGTTTAATATTATTTCAAGATCTAAGTTTCTGTAAACTATTGAAAGTTGGCAAATCTCACAACAAAGAAATTTGCCACAATATTTTTAAATAATTAACAAATTAAGCAACTAAGATGTATAAACATACTTGAGGCTTTAATTAATTTCTTTAATTATTTTTGAAATTCGATTTATTATAATTTTAACTTATACAATATATATATATATATATATATATAGTATAAAATGTTAAAATTAACCCATCCTATTGTAAAGAACAAGAGAGAACAAGGGAGGTCAAGATGAGAGCTAAGAATATTTAGAGGGAAATGGGGGGCTTCGAATGAGAGCTGGGAATGGGAGGAGGGAAACGGATGAAGAAGATTGGGACTAAGGGAAAACATAGATTAGGAATGAAGGAGCTAGGAATGAAGGCCATAATTGTAATGGTGGTTTTTGGAGATGATCTATTTTTCTAATAATGGTTACAATAAGGTGGGTTGATTTAGTAAATGGGTGGATCATCTTAATATTTTCCTATATATATAATTTTATATGTATATATTACCTTTTAATAAGAAATATAATTAAAACTTGAATAAGTGAAAAATCTTATTTGTAATAAATAACTTTAATATTTTTAAAAGTATACCAATTCTTTGTTTGAGCAACCAATCTTCTAATATTGTCAATAATACTAGTGAATTTTGCACCCCAATGATTATAAAAAAATATTTTCATAAAAAATTAATAAAAAAATATACATAAATCTCAAATTTAAATATATATTTAATTACTATTTTTAAATTATATAGATGATTTAATTTTAAAAAATTTATTTCAAAGTATGAAATGTAAGATATTTTAAGTGACTTTGAGGATTTAATAATATACTTAAAATTGCAATGTACAAAAATTTATTAATATATTAAACCAAATAAATCTCAATTTCAAATTTAGATAAAATTTGTATCTTATAAATAAAAATCAATGTAGCATTTTTGGAATTGTAGTTGTTTATTGATTTTTTAAATATAGAAAATAACATTATCTAATTAACACTAAAATCATAGAAGAATCTTTCTTCTCTAAGATAAAATACAAACCTAAAATTTAAAATTCATATTATTTTATTATAAAAAGCATGATTTTAGTTAACTAATAACATAGTGATATTATAAAATGGTTGATTTAGGTTGCATTTTAATATAATATACAAATTATTGCATTGTGAAGCCATTAGTGGCACAATAATAAAAATGTAATGTAGATTTACGAAAAAAATAAATTAATAAAAAATAAATAAGTTGATAAAATAAATTAAGTTGCCGACTTTGAATCTAAAACAATTTGTACATTTTATTGTCAAAAAAACTATTTCCGGTGAAAGTCAGTCAGCCCAGTAAAAGGAAGTGAAAAAGCACTGAAAAAGTTGCTCTGGCTTGCCATGTCAGCACCAATGGCCCCTCCCAGTTGGCTTGCAGGGGTCGAACGAACGGAGTTTATCCACGTGTCCAAGTTTCTTTGCTGATGTGGGCAAAGTCATTTATCACTTCAGGGGACCATTTCTCGCAGTCTCCGTTGACGTTGACGACAATCATCCAATAATTTATCATTCATCCAACTTGTCATGGTTTGTACTGGGCAATCATGCAGCGTGGGCACAGGAAGGTCCAATATCTCGTGAATCTGAATGGCGTGATTTTAGGGTTTTGAACCAGGTTTTTAATTTAGGGTTTAGGGTTCCATTTTAGGGTTTCTCCTTCAAGCGACCTCAGTTTTCAATTTTGTAACCCTTTTGTGGACATTTTCGGTGGAACGCCTCCATGACATAGATTCCACTACGGGGACAATATCCTTTTTTATTTTCTGTTTACTTTCAAAAAATTGGACACTTTTTGCCTTTAATATATCCAATTAGCTATGTTTAAAGTTGAAACTCTCAGAACAACTCCCTCCTGCTGAACAGAACTTCTGTTCCTAAATGAAGTATTCATATATATATATATATACACACACACATGTGAGAGACAGGAAACTTACCATGTTTCACTTTCTATATTCTTTCATATACAAAGCTGGCAAGGACATACTCAAAGGTAGTATGAAAGAAGAGGATAATGTCAATTAGATCTCCATCACAACATTGTATTCACCCAAGTCTCTGGTTTCAGCACCTATTCTCAATCCCACCTACAAAATCGAATTGTGAATTGAATTGAATTGCTTGGTGGGTCCTTCACTTGAATCTTCACAATGACTAAGGCTTGAGAATGTTAATAATGCATTAATCACTGCAATGTAATTAACTGGTTCAAAACCCTAAAATCATTGCAATGTAATTAACTGATGCAACTAGTTAGAGAGATTTGGAGGCCTTGAAATTTAGAGGCCTGAAGATTTCAGCCCCTTTTGAGTTTGCAATCACACCTGAAGCATGAAGCTGGAGAATAGAAAAAAGTTGAATCTTAAAAGCCTTGGACCATTGTCTACCATTAATGCTCTTGATAATGAAAAAAGCACAGAGTATAATTAGTTTGCATGTGTTGAGTGGCTGATGTTGGAGAATACTGATATGAGTTTAGTTTATCAGGAAGCATTTCAGTTCATGTAGAAGCCATTTGGGGGTCAAGAGCATGTTTGTGATGTCAGTAAAAGATCCTCCCACAACAACCAAGCTCTACACACAGAAAAAAACATATCTCTTCTCCTAACAATCTACAACTCTATGAAGACTAAACCTTAAACCAAATACTTCCAACATTGCAAACAAGTGGGAATCTGGGTGATCATTGTACACAACACACATACTCAAGGGTTTGTGCATGTGTTGATAGTTCTTTTTCACACATGATGATTGATTGAAAAACAACATTTCCCTCAGTAGGTGATTTCACAGTACAAAACATGATGAAAAATACCTGACTATGTATCATTGGGCTTTTTTTTCTTTCCAATCACTTGACAAATTGTTAAGGTGTTGCACTTTGACGTAATGCACAGTGTTTTGCTTTCAGTAGTTGAGTGCAGTTTCACTTGCATAAGTGCTGCCATGAGTTTTTTCTTGTGTACAATAGGCTTAGTTGTTGCTTTATATTTACATGTGGAAGGTTTGTGTAGCATTTTGTGTTAATGGTTAGTTGATAGATACTGTTATGACCCAATATCTCAAAAGCAGTAAAAGAGTGTTGAGAATGTTTGGAGAGACATTAGAGTAGTTAGAAGTAATATGCACGCTCACACAAACAAGAGTATATTGATGTGGTTGTCACATGTTGTCACGGCCATAATCATGTAAGCTAATAATTACATATAGAAATAGGTAGAAGTAAGTAAAAGTAGATAAAAGTAAGTTAATTATATAATATTTAATATAGAAGCTTCCTAGAAACTTCCTAGACGCTGCTTTGACTTCATAGGTGTCTTTAATTGACTTTTTGGATTAGAAACGTGGTCAACAAGTTGGCCATGTGCCACACATGTTGTTAGCTTGAAGATCAAGCTAACTATGTGGCCCACACGTAGAAAAACTTGCCTTGTAAGTCAAGGCATGTGTCCTACAAAGTCAACACATATTGGAGGTCCTATAGAATGTTGCCACGTAGCCCCTTGTTAGATAGTATATATAGAGACAAGAGTGAAGGCTTCTTCACTCTTGTCAACTCCTTTCTTGCTTCTAGTCCAGGTTCAAGAGTCTTTAGTTTCTTGTCTTGTGGCAATAGCCATTCCAGTTTCCTTTTAATATACCTACTTGTTTATATTTTGACTTATTATATCGAGATAGCCTTTTGGTGTATATTTTTCCTCATCGAGTCTTTGTCCTTGACAGATTGACAAGAGTACACTTACAATATCAGAGCTTTGTTTTTTCTTGAGTAAGAGTGGATTACCCCTTTCTCTTGACAAGACATAAGCGTATTAGAAGTTTGCGGATTACCCACTTCTAAACTGATATTGTTCTTAGTATCTTCTTTGTTATCAAGTCTT